CTGTGAAGACATCTTGTTGCAGGAGCGCGCGAGGAGCTCTCTGAGCTGCCGAGTTCCGTCTTTCACTCTTTCTGTCTCTCTGCCTTGAGGGGGCAAAAAGGCAAAATCTCAAGGCCTGAAAGTATGTGAGAAAACTTGGTTGGACAGAAGTTCAAGATGTCATAAGGGAGAAGTTGTGTTTCGACACGAAATCGTGTTTGTGCTCATCAGTAAACCTGTCAGGAGGCCGTTTGATGTCGTATTTGGGTGATGTCCTCGGGCACTGTGTTTGTTTACCTTCCATAAGGATTAGCTTCATATAACATGGCCAATCCCTTGGAAGACGCAGCAAACCCATCCACAACCCCTTACATTCACACATATTCCTTCACATAGGAAAAAGGTGCCCTCACTGGGATTGCAATTAATGACAAGGTCCAAGAGGAATTCGTCAATATAATTAGTCCGGGGGGGGTAAAAAGTTTTCTACAGAGCAGAATGTTTCTCAAATCACCCCGATACCTCCACCTGCATAATTGATAGAGTCCTCATGATTAAGCTAATGAGGCTCAGAGCTTAAGCCCTATCCAACAGCCCCTAATTACAAATATGTAATATCCCCCCTCCGCTTCAATTAGCATTAGAACAGAAGGTTAAGAATCATTCAATATTCATGCGGACGGTGAACTTCAAGGTTAAGGAGACTGGTCATTTAACCTCAGCTTTGAAATAAAAGCAATTTTCCTTAATTGTCTTTGATGAGAGCCACTAACTATATAGCTGTGGGAGGTGCTTCATCAAGTCAGGTAAAAGCGAAATATTATTGCCTTATTACCTTATTCTAGCTTTTATACTTGGCAGGGCTTCTTCTTGTTAAAGTGCCTTAAGAATATCTAAAACATTCATACACTTTAAGATGAATTGCTGGGTTTTGTTTTAGTGTTTTAGACATTTAAAGCCGCTTATGAGTGTGCTTTTGCTTGTATTTCTTTGTTATCTATCGCATCTTTGCATATTTCTTTTTGGAATACCTGAGCCAAACAGGTGTGTGACGTAAGGTAGCCGAGCTGTCAGACTTGTGGAGGGATGGTTTCTGATTGACAACCCTGGGGGCGATAGGCGTAATGGCGCATCATGGGAAAGCTTTCTGCAGACTTGTAAGGACCTCTCTCTGATGTAATGAAGGCTCAGTGAATAAGGGATCGAATGCCACGGTGTGCAGGTGTAGATATTTGTGTTTTAGTACATATACATAGACTGTATTTGTTTTACATCTGCTTTGTCTTTAAACGTTCAGGGATACATTAAACTCTACAACAGAACAACGCAATTGTATGAGCTGGTGTTCTCAGTCTGAGCTTACAATTTAAGTATGATTGCAGTCATAAATTTCATATTTACTGCTGCTCTACAGCAAGGAGAGACATTAGAGCTGCATGGAACAGGAGCTTTAACTTTGGTCTTGCTTGAGTCCACCTTGCCCAGAATGTGTCTGACCGTTGACTGGAGGTTTGACAGGGGACCGCATTGGCCTTGTGTCAGCAGTGGAGACCACAGAGCAGGGCCTGGGACTCAGAGACTGGGCTTGGAGCCCATAGCCTGGAGGCTGGAGGCCCACGACTGCACCCGCTGGCCTAGACCAGCCCAGCCCAGCACAGCACAGCCTCGACCAGCCCATCCCGGCTCTGCTCAGCCCCCTCCTTTCTGTGGCCTCCCTGCACCTTCACCAGCTGCGCTTTTCTGGCTCCAGCTGCTAGGTGTGTATGTGTGTGTGCTGCCCGCCCCTTCCACACCCCCTCTATCCCCTCCATATCTTGCTTTTTTTCCTTTTCTGGTTCTCCCTGGTTCTCTTATTTTCTCATTCCCGTTTTGTCCTCTCTGTGTGTCTGCCTCATCCTCTCTTTTTTTATCCTCTCTGCCTCTCATCCTTCCCTCCCTTGCCAGACACAGGGGTTGTAATAGTGCCCAGCAATTACTGAGTTGGCATGTGCTGCATTGTTTATTCACAGTCCTATTCCTACTGGACTTTATTAAAACACCATCTGCCGTCAGCACTGGAATGGTAGGAGAGGTGGTGGAGGAGGAAGGCAACGGGAGAAAAGCGATGGATTTGGCTTCAGAACGGAAGGAGAATGGCTGGACTCACATGGAGAGTGCCGGCTGCCACGGTGGTCTCTTGTCGGAGGGACATCGACAGTACATGAAACTGACGACGCTAAATGAGATTTTTGGTGCAAACAAAGGGTCTGGTAATGGGAACAAACTAAGCGAGTGTGAGTTCCAGGAGATCCAAGATCCAAGTTGTTGGAGCAAATTATGCAGTCTTTTAAAGCCTCAAAAGTGCATGAAAACGGCATGAAACAAGTAAAAAGTGTTAATCACCGCCTCTTTGTCTTTGGTGCACGATTTGTGATTTTCAGATAACGTTTAGTTAGACCCCTTCATCAAGCCTGTCGATCACACAGAGTGACTCAGGTGCTAAATAGCATGTGGGGTAATAACAGCATGACCACGCCCGCTTACGAACACACATCTCTCTCCCACACACAGATGCACATACAGAGCCATGCTGGGTAATGACATTCTGATGATTATTTCATTAGCTGTAATTTGTTATGGGACATGCCATTTCGGACGAGAGCCGGGATTGATTGGATAGCCGTTGAGAGGAGGCGGCCTGGACCCGTTACAAGCTGGATCAATTAGTCAATTATTGCAGATACTTGGTGTGAACAGTTCTGGTACATTGGCAGTGTGTCTGCTTCTCTATTGTACTGTGTGTTTTACTGACTCAAAATGGGATTACCAATGATTCTGTTTTCCCTGATTTAAAAAAAACAAAAACACATCAGTTTTTACAGTCATATTCATAAAAATGCAGGATTAATATGAATCCCAGGGATGATACACAAACAAAAGTGTGAATTTGCAAAGGGTGCGACCACGTACTCATCGACACGTTCACATATTAATACACACACACAATCTCACATACACTTGACCTCCATGTGCAAGTCTGTGAATCCATTTGGAAATCGAGATTAACACAATCACACACCTTCACACACACACACACACACACACACACACACATACAGACACATGACCTCCATGCCAAATGTCAGCCTCCTACGGCAACAACTGTTGCCGCCAAATGTTTGTGAACCAACCGACCGAGTTAGATAGAGCTGCTGGTCGCAGCTAATGAATTGGAGATATGGTAGTGAAAGATGTCTCCACGTTCTCCACTAAAATAAAGCCATACAGAGGACCAAACTAAACATTTTGTATCCTCGCAGACAATACCAATCTCAAAAAGCAAGTGAAAGGCCTCCAGCGCTCATGGCTATATCTGTTGCTTTTACTAAATGTGGTCCATCACGACAAGAAGCAATGTATGTTTTGAAATTCATACCAGGCACTGCAGCAATTATTGCCAGGCAATTAAGCTAATCCCACGTCGACATACTGTCCATACAGAGTAAAGTCTAGCAGCCTATACAGTTGATGTTTATTTGTGCTCCGGAAATGTCTGTGGGGGATCAATGAGGTGGAAGACAAAAGTGCACTCGCGCAGCGTACATATGTCGAAACATAACATACAATTACAAGGTCTTTCTGGATGTGCCGTGGTCAGTCTGCTTCACAGAACACCCTTATTATAAGTGAGTGCATATTCTGTAGGAAAGTAAAAGGCAGCTGAGGGAAGATGATGTGAGGTTAAGGAGGGCCACTTGTTCAGGAAGCTGGGCTGTACTGCACGGGGCCTCATTTGTACATTGTGCAGTGTGAAGCAGCCCCCGTGTCACTGCTGATGTTCTCAACAGAGAGAATGTGGGCAGTATGAGAAACAGTGAAGAATAAAGAGAGGAGAGGTATCAGATCCCGTTGTAGGACAGAGCGAAGCAGTTTCTGCAGAACGACATGGTGTTGCAAGATAGCTAGCTAGCTCATGAAGACCACAAAATGGATTACACACTGGAACACATTATTGCACATCACTGCATTTAAAGAAAGAGTGTCACTTTTGACAACTAAGATACAGTATGCATTTCCTCCTCTATATATTTCATGAGGTAAACATCTGGAAATAGTATTTTAAGTTCAAGTTTCAAATTAAACTGTTAAAACAAATCCTTAATGGTAACTTGTCATAATCGCAAAACTCTCTGTAAATCCATTATATTTAGTTTATATTGTTAAATTAATGACCAATATGCAGGGGAATATTGAGCTGTATTCATTAGTTGAATTGACTTACAGTCATACACTGTTTAAATTCAATTTAACTGCAAAATACAAATATTTTCTTTAAATATAAAAAATTATCAACATTTTTCAATGCTCAAATCCTTGTCAGACTGTAATTCCCAACATGCACACATTTGGATTTTTTTTTTTACAGTAGAATATAACATGACTGTAGGGGATTGACCAGAGTCATGTTCTGTTTTTATTGATATGAATATATTCAGTTGAAATACTGTAGATGGACATATAGTGGAAAAAAAAATCTCATTTGAGGCATAGACAGCAGATAGCACACTTGCAGTTAGTTATTCATGTCAATTGTAGATTGACAGCACAATTATGGCAGAGGGTATTACGCTTCAGCAACCATGTCATGCCCCCTGGACGGGCACATACACCACAGCACAGAGGGAAAACAGAAGGGCGTCCGAGGTGAATTCTCTATAGCTGGAAACAAAGCAGTACTCTGAATTCAAAAAGCAGCTTTCAGATAACACCATGAGAGCAGCAGCTAAATCTGTTCCAGTATTTAGAGAGACACCATAGGCCAGTTTGAGGAAGGTGTTAATATATCATTAAAGCGAAATGTGTCATTTTTTTGCTGCATTATTTGGTTTGTTTGTTAAACATTTTCAAAAATACAGATTGTGGGAGGGCAGCTTAAATGTATGTGTGTGTGTGTTAGTGTGTGTGTGTGTGTGTGTGTGCCATACCACACAAGCAGACCCTCTGTGGCAGCCCTCAGCTGGCGATGTTGTCGGGGGTAGGAGGTCAAAGGTCGGACCGAGGATCATTATGGCCTGCCATCTTCCAGCCTCCCCAGACGGCAACACCCCCACTGTCAGCGGCACTGCACGACACAAAAAAGATCTAATGAAGGATTATTGTCATTTAGACACAATACATGAAGCGTTCCATTAACCAATGGGAAGATGTGAGCGCTAAACCAAATTATTTGCTGAGTGACTGCGAATTGATCTTGAAATATGGATCGTTCCATTATGCGGTGTGTTTTGTGACATCTTGATTGACAAACATCTGGTCACGGATTCTTTTTTTGTTGGGAGATTCAGCATTTTTCGTGCAGATCTGATCGTACAATGTGAAATCAAAGCTTAGCAAATTAAGGGCAAATAACTAATATTGAATCATTTTATGAAATAATGACATAACGTTGGTGAAAGAGATTCACCTGCTCATTATAGCGAAAATGAGCACCCATGCCGAGAGAGGATACAGTAAATGTACCATAAAAGAGAGGTGTCGTGCACTTGTGTACGGTAGACTGTAGTTATCTTTAATGAGAGTGAAATCACTGTCTCTTAAAGCAACACATACTGTTTTATAGGTCACATCAGAGCTGCGTTCAAAGCAAGCATCCACCACAACAACAGGATGGACGGCTCACCACTTCCTCCTCTGGTTTATTTTACTTCCTCTATTAACTCTGATGTATTTACTATCAGGTCGTCTCGGATGTCGTGTTTGAGACCAGAAGGCAAACAAACAGGGACGTCTGCATCAACGGACACATGTTTTTAACTCGTTGGTGTTGGAAAATGTTGGAATTCATTTGTTTAGTTAGTTAGTTGAACCCTATGTTTGGCAGAGGGGTGTGAAATTATTATCAACAACCTATAATTTGATATAATGTTAGTGCAGCAATAACAATCCCACCACAAAAAGGGACAATAAATCAGCATCACCATGCGCACCTTCTGTCCACTGTACCATTCCCTCTCCTAGGGAAATAAATCCACCAGCCATTTGCTGTAAATGTAAACGTTTATAAGCATTCAACTTGTGTTCTGACATAAGTCCATCCCTGGCCTTCCAGCACCACATCAGCATTTTTTGTTTCATCAAAAAAATGGAGAAAGGCCAGCTGATGCGCTTTTGAGACACATTTTTATTTAGACGCAGTTTTAGTTGAGAAACTGCAATTTTAAGCCCAGGCATTAAAAGATAAACACAAGAATTCAATTATCACTCAGCACAGTTCATCAACCAGTGCGACAGGGAGTTAAAAGTAACAAGGCTGGGGTGTCTAGCGCTGTGTCAGCACGTCTCTATCACCTCGGTGATGGAGAGGCCAGCTGAGGACGGACTCTAGTGGCCTGGGACATGTTCCTCCACCCCGACGCTCCCTCCCCTCCCCTCCCTTCGCCCCGCGCGCCCTGCCTCCTACAAGCACCTTTTGTGTGGGCTAAATGGGGCTGGATGCACCCCTTTAACTTTGATTTCCATTTCCCATTGTCCGCCCATTGACGGGGAGGGTGACTCCATCTGTGCCTGCCTTGCGTGGTGCCACCCTTTCAATAGGCATATGCTCCACATGTAAGAGCCCTAAACTTGCAAAAGAATGGGTGGAAGGAATAATGATATACAAGACGGGCCCCTCACTTCACAGAGTGACAGAGAGAGAGAGAGAGAGAGAGAGAGAGAGAGAGAGAGAGAGAAAATACTCCATTCATCAATTTATTGTATGGCCCTTAAAATTCTACAGCCTTTTTATGTATATTCAAGAGCGCAGAAGAGATTACACAAAAACCCCCACTGAACTGATGGCGTTTTAAATTGCGGTCAAGCTGCTCCGCTCGCCTCCTGAACCGCGTTCCGAAATGTGCACGTGCGTTGTGCGTGGAGGGAGACGCAGCTTGCCCCGCCACCGGCCACAATGGAAGCCCCACAGAACAATTGATAACTGTTAACTGAGGTGGCGCGCCGGGTCAGTTTTGACTTGGAAATGTGCAATATGCTGTGAAAACAGCCCCTTGTGCTCGTGCTCCCCCCTTCAGATCTTATCTCCACATGTGATAACACCACTTAAGATCTCATACAGTAACACACATTAAGTCATTTCCCTCTCAAAACAAGCTGAAGAGGAAAGTAGGCACAAAAAAAAAAAAAAAAAATAGAAAGGGAAATTTGGTACTAGATTGGTATTAGTGAGTGTTTTTTCTGTTGATTTTTATCTGCAAGACCGATTTTGATTTACATTTTCTTTTCCCATGTTAGGATTATATTTGTCTTGAAACCTAATTTAGCAGGAGAAGGAGCCTTAGACAGGGTGGGAGGAGGCGAAGCTCATGGCTTAATTTGCCTTCCCTTGCACTTCATTCATTTACTTATTCATTCATTGCTTCTTTCTCTCTGTCCATCAACCTTATCCTAATCTCTCTCTTTATCCCTCTCCTCCTACTCTTTCCTTGACACCCATGACGCTTACCGCCCCCACACTCACCCCAGCGCCATCTAACCCCATCCCTCGCCGCTCCTCCTGTTCAGTTATAAGGCTCTATCGATTACAAGCCTGTCGTACAAAACGACCTAATGAAGGGTCAGCTTTAATGTGAGGGGCTGGGGCGGGGGGGGGTCTCAGTCTTGGTAGGAGCTGCTGGGCCTTGATTCAAACACCCCTTCTCCTTCCTTCTCCTCCTCCTGTGTCCCCTCTCCCTCCTGCTGGGCTCCACCTTGTCCCTCTTAGCCCCTTTCTATTGGTGAGCGGGGGCCATGAAAAATCAACAGCGGAGCCGTCAATCCCCCCCCCCCCCGCGCCCTTTACAAGGCCTACCGCCGGCTGCAGCGCCTGCCCATGTGCGAGGGTATTTAGTGGGGGCCTGAAAGCTGAAAGGAGAAGCGCTTGGATCAAATGCATGTGTGTGTGTGTGGGAGGGGTAGAGGGAACAGAAGGAGCCCTCTCAGGAGGGGTGCTGAGGCCCCGGCTCGTTTTATAGACTCCCCTGAAAGAACGTGATTACAGATCATTATCCAATTGAAGCAGATTGATGGGCTGGGGTCAAAGTAATATAGCTCATAGTGGCTCAGCGAAAAGGGGAGGGGTGATAGGAGAGGACGGAGGGCAGCGCAGAAGTGCGGGGTGAGGTGGGGGCTGGGGGAGGGGGGTTGCAGACAGGG